GAGAAGCTTGTGCGACAGCTCTTGGTTACACAAGGGAAGAGAACTTAACATTTATTGATCCTCTACCATGTGCCAGGTACTCATAGATGTTTTGAGCTGTGGAAGTAGGTGCTTTCCTTTCATCATCATCACCAAATGACACTTGCAATAGTGTGGTAAATTCAGGTGGTACAAAAGTTATAATCTTAGAAGTAGTATCCTTCTTAGTGACTTTAAAAGAACCTGAAATTGGTTCTTGAGAAATAGGGACAGTTGTGGGAACTTAAAAATTTTTTTTTTAGCTGGTGAAATCCAGCCAACATAAAATTGATCTCTTATAGTTTAATAAAGTTTTATATTTCTTACTTCTTTATGATAGGGGATCATATTATAGATAAGAGCAGATAGTGTCTTAGATACCCTTTAGACTAGCAGTGCAGTCCAAGCAGGAATAATACAACTCACATATGTAATTAAAAATTTCTAGTAGTCATATTAAAAAAGCAAAGAGAAACAGGTGGATTAATTTTAATTGTATATCTTATTTAAATTGTAAATTTTATTTAACCCATTATCCAAAATATAATTATGTCAACCAGTAATCAATATAAAATTATTATAGTTTGCATTTTTTATTAATATGAAACCTTCAAAAATCCATTGTGTATTTTGTACTTACACCACAGCTCTATTCAGAGGCTAAATTTTCATTAGAAATGCTTGATCTTTATTTCATAAGAGTCATAAGAATTGCAGTTAAAAATGTAGGTTCCAACACTATTTATTAAAAATTTTCTAATGAAGTGTAAAAACCTGTTTATTTACTATTTGCATTTGTATTGACAAAACTGACTCATTTTTTCGAACAATTGATTTGACTCTGAAGTTAAAAAAGATCAGTTTCAAAACTGCATCTAAGTAAATCCACTAACTCTTGTAACAACTCAGTATTATCAACATTGAATTCAAAAGGGCACTGCATTAACTGAAAATTGACTCTAAATTTATCCATATCAACAAAACATTCTTTGATTCTTCTCATAGATTTCGCAGCCAACTTACTTAATGTTAATATAACTGGAATTTTATGTATATTTATTCATGTTGAAAAACGTATAAAATTATTATTGTTTTGTATTATGAATAGTTTAAATTTTAGCATAAATTCTTGTACCTGTCTTGCTAGGTCACAAATAAGCTTTTTCTCTCCTTGGGACTTTAAATTTAACTTGTTCATGTGCACTGTGATGTAGGTGAAACAATGTAAATTACACTGTGATGTTTTTTCTCTGACTACTGAATATTGGTGTTTCTTTTGTTTTAAGAAAATCTTGAATTAGAGTTAGCAATACAGTAAATCTTTGTAAAACTCATGACTGAGGTAATGAACATTGGCAAAGACGATGTGGTCATTAACTTCATTATCTTCTATTTCTTTTAGCAGTTCCATAAACTGATGATGATTCATAGCATTTGCACATGTATACTGAACAATTTTAATAACTGCATCCATAATACAGTCTACTTCAGAGCACAGATATTTTCTATATGTTATCATTTGGTGGAACAGATATAATAAGGGAAACAATTCCAGTAAATCTAGATTTTGATCTCACATAGTTGGCCCATTGTCTGTCTTGATAGGAAACTTTTTCTTATCTAGCTGAAAGTGACAGATGTAAAACAAAAAATATCCACAATATGAGATCGATTCTTTCTCAGGTTGCAAATAGATGAAGATTTCTTTGTAAATTTGAAAGTCATTTGAGACAAAACATATCAAAAATATTAATTGGCCAGTATCTCTGGTCTTGTAAAACTCATCTAAAGCTAAAAATAAAAGTACTTACAATTTTTGAAATGTTGAATTGACTGATCTTTAATGTTGTTAGGTCTTTTATTCACTGACAAATGCTTGGTGGGTCAATCAAAGATCTTTCACTTCTTGTAAAATACTCTTTATATTCTTTTCAAATTTTTAAACATAATTCACTTAACTGAAATAATAATTTAATTTTTCATTTCTCTATCTAAAAATAGTTTTTTCTTGGGTAATAATTCAAGCCATTTTATAGCTGACCAAAAGTACAAGCTCAACTCCTTTAATAATCGTTAAAATTTTTTTGTTCTACATTTCATTCCAATTTTCTTGATTGTGACTAATTTCATTATTTTTTTCAATTGCAGTTGATGTTCAGTATTATTTTATATTAGTTTCAGATGTACAGCATAGTGGTTATACATTTATATAATTTACAAAGTGATTTCCCTGATTAGTACCCACCTGGCACTATACATAGTTATTACAATATTATTGACTATATTCCCTATGCTGTACTTTAGATCCTCATGACTATTTTGTAATTACCAGTTTGTACTTCTTAATCCTTTCGCCTTTTTCATCGATTAATATTTGACTGTTGAGAGGTGACACCTTATTAAATTAATATGCATTTGCTGAAATTCACTCTATTTATTATCTTAAAACTTTTTTTACACAGCTGATTTATTTTTACTCTGTTGTAGCAAATCATAATTGCCGTTCTTTGTAAAATTTGTGACATACCTTCACTTGATTCTGCCTCATCAGTGGGCCTTCATTTGAAAGTTAAAATTTTTTTCATTCCTAATTTTTAAGCTAGAAAGATAATTTAAGTATGTTGTGGTTAAAATAATAAGTATTTGAATTTTACTACCAATTGCGATTTACATTGGTATCACTGTAACTTATACTGTCTACATAAAATATTCAAAAAAACACATTAGCGATACATTGTTGCATAGAAAAATAATTTTAATTGAATCATTTGTTGACAAACTAGATTGGTGATCTGCTCATGTATAATACTAGAAATGACATGCACCCAATGTGTGCACTATGCTGTATTTTATGTGATGTAATAATAAAAGCGAAACCATAAAGTTGTGTTTAATGGAAAAATATTTTATAGTGCTTCAGTTAAGTAAAATTTTGTATTGATTTAAAAAATTAAAATTCAGTTCCTCAGTTGCACTAGCCACATTAGCACAGCTCTAGAGTCTACGGCAAGTTACTCAACTTTAATGATAAAAGTTCAGAGAGATGAAGCAACTAGACCCAGTTAAGCCAGATTAGTTAGAGTGGAGCAAGCCCAAAAATAAAACTAAGTTTCAATATATGAAAATACTACTTTAACATATGTAAAGTTAATTTTATTTCAGGATGAATCCATGTCACGCCAAAAAAAATTAATAAGAAAAGGATCAGTTATTTCATTTAATATGAAACAGTTTGTTTCTAAACAAAGCCCATTTTTTTGGTAGAGGTTAATGGGTTCACTTTTCAATTAGATGGTAGGGCATTTTGTAAATACATGAAAGGTGGTCTAAATTTTCTCTTAGACTTTATTTCCAAGATGAACACTAGCATTTGGAGTTGTTTTTGTTTTAAACTGAGTATTGTTTTATCTGAAATACATGCATAAATAGATGCAAACATAAAATGAAAATATAAGGAGTTAGACTAATAATGCAATTTCCTTCTTCCATGAATGCTTAACGTTCATGGAGGAACCAAGTGCCTTAAGCCCAAATTTAAACAGAGTAGACTTTACTCTCTTAATATTTATGCTGAGAGGAAGCAAAGACTTAAAACGTTTCATTTATTTACGTATTTGTCATAAAGCTGATAATTATTCTCCTAACATTGCTGGTATTTGATAATAGAGAAACAGTCTAGGATGTAAGGATAGGTTTTGCTATTTGTGGAAATGTTAGGGATTAACCCTAGGAATTTGGAGAGTAGATTAGACTCTTGATTGATGGATAGGTAGTCAGGTAATGGGGGAGGTGGATGTTAAATAATTTTGACTTCTGCAAATAAAAGATAGAAGCCACGCTTTTGTGTGTAATCTTTTTTAAAAAATTACTTTCCCTCATCCTCTTCTCAGTTTTTTATAGATTGGTTTCAGATATGTAAGAAATGGTTTTTGGATTTGTTAGAAATGACTTAATTTTTACTAATAGGTATGCATTCAGTTTTATTTGCTCAGAATGGCAATGTTATTATTATTCTTTGGTAGTTATGAAAGTAGTTTTTGTTAAAATTGGCCTTATCCCACGAAAAAAATTGAATGCTAATGTACAAGTTAAAGTTTATTTTGTTTGATTCCTTATATTATTTGCTTATTGACTTGTTGAAGTTTCATTATCTCTGTCTGTCTCTGTCTTTCTCTCTCTCTCACAAACACACACGCACACGAACAATATCAGTTTTAAAGAACACCTTAAAACATCTTTCTTTCACTTAGGAAGACCAGGTGCTGTAGGCATAAAATATAAAAATAAAAAATAAGGGATTGTAAGATGACAATGTCCTTGCAATCTGTAAGGTCAACCAAGGGTGCCTCGCCTAAAAAATTAAAACAAACAAACAAACAAACAAAAACTTTCTTCAAAGCAGTTACTGGTTTCCTAAAAGATGTAGTCATTGTTTTCTTGTACCTCTGAATGAAAAGATTCATTGTTAACCATCTGAATTCAATTTATTTTAATTAAATCATGTTTAAAATGTATAGCTTTATTTTTTTTTTTAATTCAACTATCTCTACAGGTTAGTTACCTTTTCCCTGCTTTTCATTTAAATCTCTCCTCTCCCCAATTTCTCCATTAATTTGAGTTGAGAAGTATCACCTTAAAGCTTTGTGAACAGAATTGGTGCTTTTTATTTCATTTTCCATATATTGTGCGACATTAAAAAGAATGTAACACATGTAACAGCTTATTTCATTTTCAAAGAAGGAATTGAAGAGCTTTTGAATAAAAATGTGAAAAGAAGCTAGTGTTCATTGCCTACGTGGCTTTTTAAAAAGACTCATAAAAAACATTCCATTGTGGATTCCAAGTCCTCTTTAAACTTACCACCAGCAGTAACTCCCTGCAGAGCCATGTGATCATCTTGGCAGCAGCCAAGCCTTTTAGTGATTTCATTACTGTGGTTTCCTCAAGCTCCTTACACACATTGATGAATATTTTTCTTGCAGTTATCGCTGTGATGATTTTGTGGTTAATGACACCAAGCTGGGACTGGTACAGAAAGTCAGAGAACACTTACAGAACTTGGAAAAGTAAGTAATAGGCTTTGGGAAAGAAAGGGGATGTACTGGGGTTCTGGGGTCTTTCAGATCTTTGAGTGGAATTTTTGTTTATGAATTCCATAACTTCATCATGTTTTTAGTGTGATTGAAATATTAATGAAAAAAGCTTTGAGTTTGAAAATCTGAAACTGTACCATAGCTAATGGTAATGTAGCTCAGTATTTCTTTTATTTAGTATTTGTCATAAACCATATTCAAGGGCCCTAGAGCCTGTTTTTTTAGTTATAACCTATCAGTTTGTAAGGTACAAAATTTATTTGAAGGGGGAATTTTGGATTGCAAGGAAAGGGAAAAAGACAGTATAAAATCATTATAGAGTTACTTTTGATATTAGAAAATTCTTATCAAATGTGAGGTCATCTTAGAAGCACCAAAATTTATGCATTATTTTTAAGGGAAATTAGGCTTAATTATATTATCGTGCACTTTGCATCTATGTGATAGCACAAGATCCCAGCTTTCCCCCCCTCCCCCTTTTTTTTTTGGTTAGGCCTTTTATATCACTTGAAATTACAAGAAGCTGTGAAATGTTTTAGCATCATAAAGAAATTAAAATACTTATGCGAATAGAATTTCCTTGCTGTAGCCAAATAGGCCATTCAGATAAAACTCATTGGACTCAAAATTCAGGCAGTTAAACAGAAACCCAAATAGCAATGCCTTTGAAGCTACAGTGGATAGAAGCATAGCCCTGGAATGACTGCTGAGTCAAGTGAAATTTGTGTAAATCACCCCCAATCATCAGGTGCCATCTAATTTATTTTGACAGTTGATGTATAAAAGGTATTGTGAGAACATGCCAAAAGCAAACATAAACGTAAAGCCAATAAAATGTTTTTAAATTGTATACCAAGAGGAAATCACATACGGTTTTCAAGTGAAACACTTTATAGCTATGGTTAACCAAAGTCTTTATGCATGTCTCTTTGACTAAATAGATTATAAAGCTGATAAGGAAAGAAGAATAGATTTCTTTAAATTCTAAACTAATTAAAACACTTTGGTGTTAAGTACTTTTTGGCTTGTCATCCTTGGGCTCCTCTCTTTTTCAAAGCGCTTTCTCCCTTTAATTTGAACAAAGTTCTGAAGACATGTTTCTTAAGATTATTTTTAGATTTGAAGCAACTGTTACTAGATCTGATGTTCCAAAGACATTATAGTTCTTCTGGAAATTCTGGAAAGAAAAGTAATTATGTATTTACTTTAGATTAGCCTGGTACTTGTAGAAGATGAGAAATATTTAGCAGACTTTTAAAAGTCTGTGTCATTTAATGATGATTTTACCTCCTTTAGATTAGTTCTCCTGATATATAATTTTAAAGTGAACTTTGAAGATAGGAATTGCTTTCTGATAAATTTTAAGCAAAATATCTTTCATCAAGAAAACTTTAAATAATTTTAATTCAGAATTTCTGTGCTAATTAGGATTAATTTTAGAATATTCTTTGTAGCATAGCTGGATCAAATGAATTTATACATGCCTCTAATTTATCATTCTGCAAACTGAGATTATATCTATGATGACAAATGAACAAAATTGAGAAAGAAGTAGCACAGTATTTAAGACAATGTTAAATCACAGAATCATATTATGAGGAATAGATGTTTTCATCTTTGAAGCTTCACAATTGATTAGGCAGATCGAGTGGTGGTAGAGAGGGATTAATTGTCACACAGATTTTATCTTCTTGGCCATCTTTTCTTGGAAGTACCTGATGGTGGCAGCTGTCAGTCCCACCTTGTGGGAGGAGCAATGGGGATTTCCAAGGGAATTTATCATTCTGCAAACTGAGATTATATCTATGATGACAAATGAACAAAATTGAGAAAGAAGTAGCACAGTATTTAAGACAATGTTAAATCACAGAATCATATTATGAGGAATAGATGTTTTCATCTTTGAAGCTTCACAATTGATTAGGCAGATCGAGTGGTGGTAGAGAGGGATAATTGTCACACAGATTTTATCTTCTTGGCCATCTTTTCTTGGAAGTACCTGATGGTGGCAGCTGTCAGTCCCCACCTTGTGGGAGGAGCAATGGGGATTTCCAAGGGAAGTGGAACTCCTCAAGTTACTTCAATGCTTGTGGGCCACAGAGGCATAACAGGTCATTTCCTGGCCTGACTAAGCAGCTAGCCAGAGCTCCATACCCTAGACACTTAGAACAGCCACATTTATTCTTTATCTTGGTGTGTATTAATGTCTTTTTGACTATTTGTGTTTTAATAGCTCAGCTTTCACCGCTGACAGGCATAGGAAAAGAAAACTTTTGGAAAACTCATCACTAAACAGCAAGTTATTAAAAGTGAATGTAAGTAATTAAAATTTATTCAAATATAACAATTGGTTGAGATCTAGTCACTGCTTTATAACTTCAACATTAGTGTTGCCCTTTGTAAACTCTTATAAGTGTATGCCTTGGAATTGGAATATTTTATAAAATGTTTGTCACTTGTACTAATGATTCTTGGTGTGATACGTCAGTGAGTCCATCTGTCAGTACCTTTCTTCCGTCAGGATTACTACTGTATTATTCCTCTGCCTTAGCAAGCATTGGGTTCTTAATGCCTACCTATGTACCTTATTACTGCGTTTCTATAGGATCCAAAGATCCTTGCTTTCTTTCATTAAAGGCCCCGAGTTCAAAGTCTGTGAGTGTGAAATTTTTGTCCTTTATTTCTTAGGACTTCATTAATACAACTTCACCATAAATGAATATGCTTTCTCATTCTGATAACTGTCTGTTACCAGCTGTTTGAGCCATTAATAGATCAGCAAAATTTTTAAATTACTAAATATTTTTAAATACACCAGCAATTTTGCCCTGTATCTACTTCTTTGGTGTCATTCTAGCTATGTTTAAATACACTTAAAGTGTTATGATTTTGTGGAAGAAAGAGCCAAAGTGTTCTCTGGCCATCTAAATTATAGGCAGAGATGCTTCGAGTTGAATTGGTAGATTCACTTCTCAGGTGTAGTATTCAGACATCGTGGTGCATTTGTAGAGCTAATCAGAAAACCAAGCCTTAGACTTTAAGGGAAGTTCAGGCAGTTTTTTAAGATTGATATCCTATTGCTAGGAAGACATGTATTGGGTCATTTATGCATGGCGTAGAGTTAAAAGTTTAGAGATAGAAATACTTGGGATATATATATATATATTTTCAATTCGTAGTAGTTTTAATAGAATTTGTAAAGGCAGTAAGTCTTAAACTTTATTTCTTTTAAGGGTTTTCCTGGTTTTTGCATTGTGTACTGCATAGTACTTATTAATGCTGATTTACTCATAAGCTCCCATCAGATACTCCCATTCAGAACAATCCCAGGATTAGAAACAACCTTCTAAAAATATCCAGACACCTAATACAGAGAGTAGAAACCAAGTTTGAAATATTAATTGGACAGGAAAAGACTAATTTCAAATTGACTTGTTGCTAGAGTTTCAAATATAAGCCTTTGCTTTGCTTTGATGTTTGAAATAGTCTGCCTTCTCTTGGCATTACTGATGGCCTCTTGTCCCATTTTACAGGGAAGCACCACTGCCATTTGTGCCACAGGCCTTCGGAATTTGGGGAACACGTGTTTCATGAATGCCATTCTTCAGTCACTCAGGTAATGTTATGGCCAGAGCTTAATTATCTGACGTTAGTTTCTAGTGGAATGATTAAGAGCAGAGGCCCTGGGTTTAGATCCTGTTGCTGCCACTAATTCTAGTCATATGGTTTGGGGCAAGTTACTTCAATTCCCTGTACCTTAGCTTTCTCATCAGTAAAACTGGGGATAATGGTTCTACCTCACAGGGTAGTTGGGACGATTAAATAATCTAATTTATATAAAGTGCTTATTAGAACAGTGCCTAGCAGTAAATAACTGTTGGCTGTTATTTATTTCCGATTGCTTCTTGAATAGGCTAAAGCAGAGACCAGCAAACTTTTTCTGTGAGAGGCCAGATTAAATAAATATTTTTAATCTTTCATGCCATATACAGTCTCTCACATACTCTTCTCCCTTCTATACCCTCCTGCCCTTTTAAACAACTCTTTAAAAATGTAAAAGCTCACTGGCCCTGAGGTAGATATGGTGTGAGATAGATATGGTGTGGGCTACAGGGAATCTTGTTCAGAGAACTTCTTTCAATTAGTTGAGTCTTAAGTGTGGTCATAAGAGTGGATGTTTAGAAGATCTTCAGAATGTTAGATAAGCAGTAAAAATAAGATGGCCAACAAGGCTGACCTAAGTTATGTAGAATAAATTATTTTGAAAATTGTATACTTTTAGATTTTGATGAGGCATCAAAGGCCAGAATAAATTATCTTCCTAAGGCTACCTTGCTAATAAGGAGCAGAAGCCATATTTGATCTCTCCTTAAGGGTACTGTCTCTCAGCTTATCCAGTTTTGCTCAGAGAAGAAATTTTAGTCACTACTGAATTCCCTTTATTACTATGTATAGTATATCTAAACAATATGATGGGTTCATGGTTTTTATTTGAGGAAATTATTGGACACTTGGAAACAAGCACCCTGAGAGGAAAGAAACAGTGACAACCTATAGGTGAAGGGTAGAGGGCAAGAATTAAGGATTTTTTTTAACAGAGATTTTGCTTTAACATCTGTGTTTAGTTCTACAAAATTATCTATACTGTTTTCTTGGATTAAATGAGGAAACTTAATGAAGAAACTTATATTAAGAGATTACATCAAGTATAACTTAAGTGAGGAATTGAAAGATCACATTTTTAAAATCCCAGTGGAGTTTCATGGAACTTTCTTTACAGTCCTATGAAATTTTTTTTTTTAAATAATTTTCTTCCTTCCTTTTAAAATAGTAACATTGAGCAGTTTTGCTGTTATTTCAAAGAATTGCCTGCTGTGGAGTTAAGGAACGGGAAGACTGCAGGAAGGCGAACATACCACACCAGGAGCCAAGGGGATAACAATGTGTGAGTTCTAAAAATATGTCCTTTCTGGCTTTGAGCTACAAAACAAATGACTCTTACTGGTGATTTCCATTGCATTATGTGCATTCATAGGCACATGCATTTTAAAAACCTCTTCTAAAAATTGTATTAAGCAGCTGGTAATCTTAATAATTGTTGGAATTCTTTTATTTGTATTTACCTAATAGGCAAGGTAAATTTAGCACTCTACTTATTGAGTTTTCGTGAATTTGGACATTCTAAAATTGACATCAGTATGTGAAATACAGTATGTATAGACCAGCATGAATATTATTAGTCTTTGTGAATTCATTTGTCCGATAGTGTTAGGTAAACCTATCTTGTATAGTAAAATTAATTTGTAGTCATCAAATTAATTACAAGGCAATACAGTTAATTTTTAATTGATATGGAGCAGGGAAAAAATTGGCAGGTGATTGTTGCAAGCCAATGTATTCAAATTCAGTGTGGGGCTCTCAGCCACATAGTCTAAGATGGTGCTGGAGTGTCACCATTTCATCCTCATTCCAGCTAGAAGGAAGAAGGAAGTAGTTATAAAGACTACTCTTTCTCTTTGAGGAAGTTTCTCAGAATTTGGACACACTCAAAGTTTTATATTCCAGGAGTTCGTATGCCAAGAGAAAAGCAGAAGTTCTGTTCCTATGGGAGAAGAGGAAAATGGGTATTGGAGGACAGTAGGGAGAGAACAGAGAGAAGGTTTAGTACCCATTGAGTCTGAAGTGACAAGAGGATGTCCAGTAGAAAATTCCTGTTGGAACTGGAGAAACGTGAATAAAAGTGGTCATGAGAAATTCTGGCTTTTAGATTTGGATTTTTAAGAGTAATTGGTATAGAGTTGAGTATTGAAGCTTTGTGGCCAGATGAACTCTCTGGGGCAGAGAGGAGCAGATGGTCACACACTGAGGTGTGGGAAGTGTGCCTAGTGAGGGGCAAGAAGGAACAGTGCAGCAGATGGAGGAGGAGATTCCATTATTTGTTTCAAGTTTTTAAAATGTACATTCTAAAATAATTTGGTTTGTAACTTATCCATTGCTTTATTGTACAAATATGGCAGTATTTGGGCTCGAAGTTTACCACATGGTTAAAAAACTGGTTTTATCAGTAATTACTGCTATTTACATGGATTTTTTTTACATGACCCTGAATTTTTTATTTTATTTATTTTTTACTGTATTGTGTCTAATACTTTTTTTTAAAATTATGTTTATTGTGGTAATATTGGTTAATACAATTATATAATTTTCAGGTATACATTATAATTTGACATCTGTATATTCTATTGTGCGTTTACCACCCAAAGTCCAGTTTCCTTCAGCTACCATATATTTGATCCCCTTTACCCACCTCATCCTCCACCTACCCCCTATATTTGACCCCCTTTACCCCGTCTACCTTCCCCCTCCTCTGTTCTCCCCAACCTCCTACCCTCCGGTAACCACTAGTCTATAGACTATGTCTACGAGTCTCTATTTGTTTGTCCTGTTCATTTGTTTCTTTTAGGTTTATATCTCACATGTAAGTGATATCATGCGATTTTCAACTTTTTCTATCTGGCTTATTTCACTTAGCATGATTATCTCGAGGTCCATCCATGTTGTCACAAATGGCAGTATTTCAACTCTTCTTATGGCTGAGTAATATTCCATTGTATATATGTACTACAGCTTCTTTAGCCAATCATCTATCGTAAGACACTTCGGTTGCTTCCATTACATGGGTTTTTGAGATGCTCTTACTTAACTGTTAGACGTAAAAGAGACCGTACCCTTTTTATGTTTTCATTTTTTAATTATTATAAATTTTAGACAATTGGACATTATGCATTAAAATAGTAGTTTCTCACTAATGCTAAGGGTGTTGTTCTTTCTTTTCCAGGTCTTTGGTGGAAGAGTTTAGAAAGACACTCTGTGCTTTATGGCAGGGTAGCCAAACTGCATTTAGCCCAGAGTCCTTATTTTACGTTGTTTGGAAGATTATGCCGAATTTTAGGTAAGTGTTATTTAATGAAGGATTAGTCTTCACAGCGTTCCTGAAACAATTTCCAGTGAAGCGGTGATGTTCTAAATAATAAAGACTGGTATTGCTTTTTTTTTTTTTTTTTGAAGGAGAAGAACAGAAGTTGGATATATCTGACTAGACAAATGTTTGTTTAAATAATAGATGTTAGTAATATCTTTAACAAAGGGTAGCGTGTTTTGTTATAAAAACAAAGCCCTTATAAATAATAACGTGCTCTAGGAAAACATACTGGGTAAAATTTCCTTGATTCTTTCAAAATCTCATAAAGAATAATTGCCATCATACACTGTCTTGTTATTTCAACTAAAAAAAATCTAAATGTCATCAGTAGGAATCCATGGTATTATATTTACTGTTGTGGTCTGGGTTCTGAAAGTCTTAGAATACTGTAGTCAAGTCCTTTGGGATTCACTTTCCAGAAGGTAGCTGGGTCCCACCCTAATGTGGCTGTAGAATCACTACTCGAGCCTTGCTTGAGTAGGGAAACAGCCCTGCTATCAGAGGATGCTACTTCTCCTAGGTTAGTCATCCCTGTAGGGATTCAGGTAATAGCAGATTGACAACAGCCTTGCCACCTTCTGTTGATTTTATCCTTCTGAAGCAAGTTATGGTTTTTATTTGTCATGATTTGGTGCCTAATATACCTACCTCTTTTTTTTTTATTAACCAGCATGCTCTAGTAAAACTTAGTATATATTGTGCTCTATTGGCCTAATAGTAGTTTAGATATATTGGTAATATAGAGAAATATTTAAAAGATAACAACTTCAAAGAATTGTAAGTTGTAATTGTTGTTACTTAATATAAAATTTCTAACATAGTCACCTAGTTACTCTCTTGATAGAGATTTAATCTTTGTGGTTTATTATTATATAAAAATATATTTATTGAATGCCTACTACATGCCTTGCATGTATATCTGATCTGCATTTTATATCTGATCTGCATTAAAGAACACAAATTTCTTTTCAGGATAGGAAGCGTTAGTCCCATTTTAAAGAAGACAAAACTGAGAGGGGTCGCAACTTGTTCAGTCTTATACATCTAGTAGATGATAGGACCAGTATTAGAACCCAGGTTTTTGGGGGGTTGGTTAATGATAGATATGCTTACAGGAATTTGTCCACATGCCTGAGTGAGGCCCAACACTGAATTTATACTGTTCTGCTTGGTCCCTGTGGTGACTCAGGTCCCTCATTCTTAGTTGGAAATTTAGAAGCATGAAACTTTTATTCAATAGAATTCTACTTTTCCTTTAAATCTGCCCACATCTCTGCCTTTTCTAGTTTCTGTAGCCCAACTGTGAGCATGATTTATTTTGTAGCTGCTTAATTTTACACATTCTAATATTCCTACCAATGAAGGGAAAGAATTTTGGGAAAAGGTAACTAGGTTGAGGAATTTGGCATGGAGCTTCCACAGTGATTCCTAATACACAGGAACTCTTAGATTTTTTTCTTGATGACCAATGATAATTGGTTGCTTGTGTTCTTAGCAATGATAATTGGTTGCTTGTGTTCTTAGCAAGACTTTCTCTTAGTTCTATAATAATTGAGATCGTTCCCCATTTTCATGTAATCAAAGAGTAAGGGGAGACTGCTATACCTACAGCCATACTTCTTATGGCTTCCCAGTATGCCGTTTTTCCTTTTCTAGACCATAAAATACCTTAAAGTTAAAATTTTTTTTTCAATAGGCAAAATACAGATAATTTAAAATTTCGAAAGATAAAAAAATGATATGCAATGAAAGTTTTTTCTTTTACTCTATTCCCCAGCCTTTCATTTTGCTTTCTGGAAACAACCATAGTTACTAGATTATTGTGTATCCTTTCAGTGATATTCTGTGTGTGTATAAACAATAGTGTGTGATTTTTAACATAAATTGCAACGTCCTTTTTTTCCTACTTTGAGATGATTCATATTAGTATATAAATAGCTTTCTCAGTCCATTTTATGGCTGCATAAACTTCTACTTTATGGTTGTATCATAATTTATGTAAGAATCCCGTACCAGTGATCATAAGGATTGTTTTTTATCTTTTGCTGTTTCAAACACTGCTGCAGTGGATAGTCTCATACATATATATGCAGATATCTAAAAGAATTGCTGGCTCAAAAGACACTGGCTTTTGTAATTTGATAGTCTTTTCTGCTAGCCTTTGCTTTCTTTAACATGGTTTTATCTTATTGCCTCCCTCTTTGTCATGGGCTTCCTGACTACGATATTTGCCTTGTGGTCCCATCTCTTTTTCAGCATCCAGCTTAATATTCATTCTCCAAGAAAGGCTCTTGATAATTCAGATCAGGTCTGGTATTTATTCCCCTGTTCCTCATATCACTTATGTGCTATTGCTGCTTTCATGTATAATGATTTAATATATTTGCCTTGACTTCCCCAGCTTGTTTTAGTTTTTTAAAAATTAGTTCTTATTGTAATTAATGTTTAAAGATGATGGATGAATATTACTGAAACATTCTTATATTTGCTAAATATTCTACTTGGCTTTTTAGAAAATATAGATTTTGTGTACAATAGATGTTTACTTGTGATATTTTAATTTAACAATAATCTGTGGGTATTTGTAAATAGAGAACTTTAACAAATACTATGCAGTTGATATTTTATATTTAAACTATCAGTTCTTTTAACTAGGAATTTTGCTATTGTAGTTTTTGTCTGTGTGTAAACAAAAAAATCATTTTTGAAATTTCCATTTTCTTGTGTTTTTGTCTTGAAGAAATGCACCATGATTGATGACATACTGGATAGAAATAGCTAAATTTACCTGATTTTGATTTTGAAGATAATTCAGACAAAACAATAATTTAGAATTCTTTTATGAGATACTTTAAATATGAACATAACCTAAAATTCTAGTGTGTCCTAGGTATTTTAGAAGACTTTGTTTTAGAATGATAAAATTTGATTCCATAGATTCATGTCCTGTTCCTTATTGGTCTTTGCCATTTTACACATGATGTACTGGTAATGCCAAAACAGAGAATAATCAGTAATGTACAGGTGTATGATGTCACAATTGTGCGTGTTGGATCATCATACAAGTACTAGTACATGTCTGTATTCTGTGGTGTCTTCGATTATTTGGAATGTCTGTTTTTCACACTCAAGCCAGCAGCAAAGTAGCATTTTCTTTGATCATTCTTTATTGGAGCATTTCGTTTTTAGGATTTGGGTACATACGGCTTGCCTCATTGTGCCAAAATTATTGTGAGGAGCCATTTGCCCCCGTGTTCCTATACATTTGCTTCAGCAATGCCCCTCTTTCTCAGCCCCCTCATTCAGAAAGGATGATTCATGATCTTTTAGGCTTTTTATATTTACAGTGTATCTTCCAATCTCACAGCATGTTTATAACAGATTTTCTGTAGACACTAAGAAAAAGGAGGTAATTTCAAGGTCACAGACACATGAAGATAAGGAACAGTATTAATATTGGAGATAGCTATTTCCCTCTTTTTTCTCTCTTAATACTGTCACAGAGATACCAGTTGGTTCCTCATAAATCCAGTTTTTCACTAACTCACAACCACCTGTTTGGGTGACATCACTGAAATGATTTGTGTATAAAACATAAACATTGTACCCAAACGTGAGGAGTGTTTCCTTTAACATGATTACCAAACAAGAGAAACCTAAATTGACTACAGAGGAAACTCCGAAGCCCAGATTGTATAATTGGGAAGTAATTGAAAAGCTAACTTAAGTTTTTTGAAAGTAACGTATTAAATAATATATATTAAGACTTTCAGATACTCAATGAAAGATTTTATTTAAGTGTTTAAAAATGGAAGTATAAATGTCTCTTTAGACAGAATCAGAAAATTTTCCTAGTCTTAGACTGTTTTCTGGTAAAGATCACAAATTAAAGCAGAAACCCATAACTTAACTTTACAAACAGCTGAGTGTTCCATGATCTCATGTAGGTCAAAAACATGTTTCTAATGATAAAGGTAACATTAGAAAATAATATATTTTGATATCAGAAAAGAGGATCATGGTGTGATTGGAAACATTAATGTACATTGGGAAGATTGTGTTTTAAAAGTGTTTAAATGTGTTTGATGGAAATGCAAATCGGCATAACTACAAGGTAGTGGTAGTTATGATCCATTTTAGACACATGATGATTAGATATCAGGTTATTTTGGTGAGAAAATGAAACTTTTATGTATGATAGAATTTCGGATATGACCTAAAATACTAATAGTACCTTTAAATCGTGAAAAAATAGATGTATTGAAAAAGTTTAAAGCACTTCCTTAGATATATAAAGGAACTACCAATTTTGAATATTATTGGCTGTGAATTTTAATATTTTTATTCATATAAAACTTAGAGGAAAAACTTGACATACATTGATATTTGGTTGCTAAATAGTTCAGAAAAAAATTATAGTGCTAAAGTAACTTCTTATTTAGTATATGTGCTGCCGAAGCGAGCTCAAGTGACTTCTGATTTAAGTTCCATTGCTTAGGCAGATTGTTTTCATAATTTACAATTTCTAGAAGAAATTTCAGGAAAAGGGAGAAAATATATATTGAGGGAAACTCTGGTTGAAAGAAATTTTGCTTATGGGACCATTTCCATTTCCTGGAAGAGTGGTGGAAATTTTGACTCAAGATCAGGCCAGAAAAATTTGAAATTTAGAGGATAGATTAAAGAGAACCTTGCATGCTGGCAAAATATAGGCATAAGTCTTTTCTATTCATAGTTTTATGAAAGTACTTTATATTTCATTGCTTGATTTATTTTATCTACCTAAACCTCTGTGACCTTCCAATTCTACCAACTTCATTTTCTATCAGCCTTCATTTATGTTTACTTGTCAATGATCTGTATAAGAATTCCATATAAGTTTCTGTCTGAATATAGTAGAAGTAACCTAAGAATATGTTACTGTATATGTTCAAGTTTTAAGATAGAGAATAATTAACTATGTATGAGTCAATGCATTTTTAAAGTGTTTATTTAAAAGATGTCTTTTGAGTCAAAGATTAAGATGCAAGTATAGAATGTTAGACATCTTTAACTTTTTAGATAATTTTTCTTTTCCTGTCCGCCAGCGTTTAAAAATTATCATCTTCTAATCTAAAACATTAGTTTTAAACTCTTTATGTAGTGGTGGCTTAGACCTACTTTTCCAGTGAGGTTATGATAGGAAATTTTGAGCACCTTTCTAGAGGGTCCAGCGGTATAGTGTCTATCCAGAAAACATTGGTTATAGTCAGTCCCATCCCTGTTACTGCTCTCTTGTAGGACTTTAGGCAAATCACACACACTCCTTGTTTTGCCCCTCAATTTTTCTCATCTTTAAAGTGAGGTCAGTTGAGATCACTACAAGTCCAATGAGCTCTAATATTCTGTGTTTTTGAACTTGTTTTTAAGCAGTAGAATTTTTTCTTGTTGAGAAATTTTATGTGTAAAACACGGAACAAGTAGGGGATGAGGAGTCAGGGAGCCTCACTGTGCTCTGAGTTCACGGGGACAGCCATTCCCAGTGCTTTTCCCTCCTGCCTGTTTGGCTGGGCACGTGGAGCCTCCCCAGTGACAAACCGTTTCTTTTTGTTTCAAGGGGCTATCAGCAGCAGGATGCCCATGAATTTATGCGCTACCTTTTGGACCACCTGCACTTGGAACTCCAGGGCGGATTTAATGGCGTTTCCCGCTCAGCAATTCTGCAGGAGAATTCCACTCTGTCTGCAAGTAACAAATGTTGCATGTAAGGTTTAGTTTCTTTTTATCTTTTTGAAGGACCTCAGACATTTCTGTTGGTGTTATTGTTTGTTAGATTCATGATGGAAGGTAGAGCGTTTTCTTGGACCTTTGCTGAGACTTTCATGCACTTGAACTTTATAACCAAGTGTACTGGCACATGCCTCCTGCTTCTTAGACCAGAGGCATTTTGTATTTGCATCTTGGTAATTCTGATTATTATTATTTGGTATAGATTATTTTAAAACTTAAAAAATATGTATTTGTACAATTTAGAAGTTAAAAAATTTCCTCCAAATGTACTGAATAATGGGTGGGAGATAGTTTTGATATACTAAAATAATTGTATTTGTTCACTAAAAACAAAAGCTTAAAATATTTTAAAGTGATATTTTAATTTGAATTCTAAAGCCTTATTTTGAACTTGAATTTTCCTAAAGTATATCTGTCCTTTAATGAAACTGAGGCATTTGTAAATTCTCAGAATATTTTCTTACCTCTATGTGAATGAAACAAACCATTTGGATTGCTTTTCCAAGTACTAATATTTCAAAATATACATTGAGATTAGAACATTTATTTTGCTTGAGGCAGGGATGTTTTACTGATATTTCAGCCTGGATTTTGGTTAATTATAGTTCGCTTTTGTTCAAATTTTTGGAAAGTTTTGTGTTGACCTATGCAAGAGAGGGATTTAAAAGATGAACTCTCCAAAGAAAGAAAGATTAAGTAATATATAAGAGTCTCTGTTGTATTGCCTGGTAGTCCATAAATCTGATTTAGTAAGATAAGTTCTTTTTAATGATAGAACAGTCTCATAGCTAATCTGTCTGTTTCTGAGAAAGGTAAACAATATTAATAGTCATACTTCTCAAAATGTTTGTTCCTCCAGGTCCTAGTAGCTATGATTCCAATTAGAATCCAGTAGAGAAAAGGAAGGACTCATGACCTGGTAGAATTTAAAATAGTATTAAATGAAAAAGTCTGTTTTGTATTTTGAAAAATTCGATATTTTGACTTGATTAGTATCCTTTTTTGAGGCAGAAATTATAAAGGAAGAATAACACTGAGTTTAAATGTACTGCTTTGTAATAAAGTAGTTTCTATTTAAATTAAAGGCAGCATTGTTTGTGAACATCAGTATGAACTGATCAATCATAGTCCCTCTATTTTCAATAGATAGTTTTTGGGTATGTCCTTTGTTTATGACACAGATATTAAACCTAAAACCAGAAATGGCCATCATGTTCTCCAGTTCCCAATATATCTTCCCTTTTTGTTTAATTTCTAAATAAAGCCATATGTCCTATGAACAACTTTTTAAAAAAGCTGCAATATATTAATTTTGCCAGTAAAAGAAGGAAGCCAAAGAAGCAAACTTTAAAAAAAAAACAGAATTGCTTGGGTGAGTTTTGTTGGTCTCATCATTACAGTAGGGTGAATTTAGAGCAGTTCAGGAAGTACGGTTCAGTGTATTAGGAGTACTATTGATTGCAAGTGACAGAAATCACCTCAGATTGGTATTAGCATAAAAGCATTTATTTGCTCGAGTTAACTGCACAAGTGCACAGAGTGACATATAGGTGTTTGTTGTAGTGTTGTTAACAATAGAAAAATGTCAAAACAACGCCAGTATCCATTAGTATTATAATGGTTAAATTAAGGGAAGGAGCATAGTGTTAAGAGCAGCTGCTCAGGCCAGACCAACTATGTGACCTTGGGCCAAGTTACTTAACCTTTTGGACCTCAGCTTCCTGGTGTGTGAATTGGGATAATAGTGTCTACCTCATAGAGTATGGGTTAATCGATTTAATAAATGGAAAGTATTTAGACTGCAGCTTGGCATGTAGTAAGTGCTATATAATAGAGTGCTTGCTAATCATGCTCTCCATGGTGCACTTTCTCAGTTGTTCTTGTGTCCATTCTATGTCCACACTATGGCATGAAGCTTTTAAAAAGAGTGAGGGACATACATGTTCAAAATATATACTTATGGAAAAAAAATAAAAGCAAAAGGCAGGTATGATTCTAATTAGTATGCTAATGAAAACACCCTTAACACAGTTTAAGAGCTTTCTTTTTAGTAAGCACTTGTCTAAAAGCACTGTCTATACATAACTCATTCATCTTCAACCAGGCATCTGAGATAGATTAAAGTTATTCCTTTTATTACATTTGATGAAGCTGAGGCACCTAGAGGTTAACTAGCATTAGGATAATTGGTTTTTTATTGTCTTTAAAGTGACATATTTTAGATCTCCACAAAGGAATTATTTACAATATTATTTTAAGTGAGCTTTTTATAAGGCTCGTCGTTGACAGTAGTATTCACTTCAATTGCGAAGTCATACCCAAACCAGTAATTACTAAATATGTATTAAATTTCTTTTTCCCCAAATCTGACAGAGGACCATCTGAAAAACATAAATCTATCTGTGATTGAGGTTGTTGTTCAAAGTAAAGTAATTGAGAGCTCCCTGTAAGATGAGAGGCCTTGTAAAGATTCAAATATAAGACAGTCCCCTCTTTTCTGAGGGATATATCTGGCGAGTAAGGGATTCTCCTGCCCTGAGTAGGCATACACATGTTCTGATTGATAAATGTCCAGTATTAGTTACTTTTGGAGAAAATAGTAGGTTTGAAGAGGGCTTGGGGGAAGGCCAGTCAATGGCTTAAACCCTTTATTTAGTATGTACACTTTTGAAGTTTTTGTATTATTTTGTAATTTAAATAAAAAAGGTATACATTCCCCCAAAGGGAGTGACCTATAGATTTTACACATTTTAGTTTTTACTGAGATATTTTCTGTGGTGATTTTCTTTAGAAATGGAGCATCTACAGTTGTCACGGCTATATTCGGAGGCTTCCTTCAAAATGAGGTTAACTGTCTCATATGTGGGACAGAATCTAGAAAGTTTGATCCATTCCTAGGTAAGACATTTGGTATGTGGAGATACGATATTGTATTAAAATAATAATTTAATATTTCCTTTGAAAATTAAGACAGATAAATCATTAAAAATACATCAAGTTTTGAAATTAATTTTTGAATGTGGTTATATGACTTTAACAGCTGTTTTCTTATTTCCTTTTAAGATCTTTCATTAGATATTCCAAGTCAATTCAGAAATAAGCGCTCTAAGAATCAAGAAAATGGACCAGTTTGTTCATTACGAGGTAAGATACTAAATTAATGTTCTAGAATTCTTTTTTTCTCTCTGATATAGCTTAATAGATTTATAAACTCCATCTATATGTGCTGTGTTGTTAATCACTTTAATGAATTTGTGTTCTAACTTAACAAAAGTCAAACTTGAATGTCTCCTTCTGTCCCCTCCAAAAATCTATTTAATACTAATGCCTGCCAGAGATATTAGGTCAAGTGTAAACTATTTTCTCACCTTTCTTTTTTTAATACTGGTTTTAAAAGTGAAAGTTGGTAACAAAACTTTTTCTGACCTAATGAAATAGAATTTATTCTGTGGATATTCCCCTAGTATCCATAGAAAGAAAGAATGCTCTGCAAAGTTTATAAATTGTGGCACTATTTATTCTTTTGTATGACTAATAGTTTGAGAAATCTGTTGATAACCACTGTTGGATAAACCGGAGGCCCTACTTTTAAGTGCAAGAGTATTAAAATTCACATTTACTTTGCAAGATTTTGAACAGTTTTTTCCGTGATGAATATTAACTACTTTAGTCAAGGCAGAAGACCAATTCTTGACCAATTACTAAAATGACTCATTGTTCTTATTAGTCATAAAAAGAAAAAACTAGAAAAGAAAAAAAGAGGACCTAGTATGTATTCTATCATTAAGTAACTTTACACTGAAGGCAAGTAACATAATTTCTACCCTGAACTGTATGTTTATTGAAAGTAATTCTTTTCTTCAACTATTTTAGGGCATATTATTGTAATTATCTATTTATATCTCTTAAAAAACAAAAGATTCTATTGGTCAAAAACTGTACTGTCCAGTATAGTAACCATAGTCATATATACCTATTAAAATTTAATTAAAATAAAATTAAAAAATTTTAGTTGCTTACCTGCACTAGCCATGTTTCAAGTGCTCAATAACCACATGGAGTATAGTAACCATAGTCATATATACCTATTAAAATTTAATTAAAATAAAATTAAAAAATTTTAGTTGCTTACCTGCACTAGCCATGTTTCAAGTGCTCAATGACCACATGGCCAGTGGCTGTTGTATTTGACAGCACAGATGTAGAACATTGCCATTATTGCAGAAAATTCTACTGGACAGCGCTGTTCTAGCATCAAATTATCCTGGTAAAAATATAACTTTCTCTTGGGGGAGGGGGCAGGCTTCTTTTTCTGTGTCGCCAGTGCGTTGTGCAGCATTTGGCTTGTTAAGAGCAGCAGAGGTCTTGCTTGTAGCACTGTTGCTCCGGTAGTTTCTGGAAATCTCTTGGAGGGTGACTGTCAAAGACTCTGGGCTACTCAAAAAAATGAGAACAAAACAACTCTGCATATGAAAACATCTTGTAGATGCTTTCACTTTGTTCCCACCTAAGCAAGTTGATTGTCTCTTTTGAACAGGAATACAGAAGAAATTTAAGAAAGCCCCATCCACTTCACTTATCCCCAAAATATATGGCTACAGTGTGTTTCTCCAAAACTGTTTTTGACCTGTTAAAGGTTAAGAAAATATCACAATATACTTGATATCTAATGTCAATTCATTTTCTGGCATGTGAATTTATAAGCTAACTTAATCATAAAACATATCATTTAATCAGAGGATATCAGGGAGAATTAAATTATTAAAGGAATTAGCCTCAAACTACAAAATCTAAATTGAATTAACTTCATTTTGTAATTTCTTCAACAAGAATAGTAATAATATTGACATTAGTTTAAAAAATACCTTTCCTCAATATAAATATGTGAATATATACTTGAAAAATGTTTCCTAACATTTAACCAAACCCAGTACGTTTGGATAATCTTTGGTTGGAACACCCAGAGACACTGGTTTGTTCAGGCTTCTTTCCTTTCTTTTTGTTGTGTCCCCCATCCCAAGTTAGTCATGTATTTGGTTATTATTGCGTTCTGTAGCATTTCACTTATTACCTACCCCAGAATGCTTTAATGCTGACCGCCCCCTTTCTTGAGACCGTCCAGGGGAAGCGTGTATGACACAGCTAGGTGGTTGGTTGGTACTACAAACAAGAAAAGTGGCAAATGGAGATGATGAACTTGAAATAAATATTTGTAACATATATGAAAAAGTACTTGGGCAAAGTATCTGAATAAGCAAAATATAAGTGATCAATTTAACATCTGAAAAATGTCTTACATATATTCAAGAAAGTAAGTAAAGCAAAATTTGTCAAAATGATAAAGATAATATCCATCGTTAGTGAAAGTTTTGGAAAGTGGGCATTCATGTTATTAGTGTTAGTGTAAATTGGTACAGTTGTTTTGGGAGGGTAATGGTCACCATTTTTAATAGGCATTTCCTTAGACATAGTAATTTCACTTGCAAATATGTACAATAACACGTAAAAGATGTTCATTGAACCATTCTCTATTACTGCAGAAAAATTCAACAATTTATATTCCCACCAGTAGGGCATTGGTTTAATAAATTATACTATGTAGCAATTAAAAAAGATAAAGTTGATCAATAGCTAGGCCATAGAAAGATAACTACAAAATATTGTAGAGTAAAATACTATCCATGGAAGTATGTACATAGAATGAATCCATTTGTATAAGATAAGAACCATTCATATGTACATTAAACTTGAGCAGCATACACTGTCTCTTTATAGTGATTATCTTAGAGTGGGCTTCAGGAAGAAATGGATCATGACATTTTTTCGTGTTCTTTTATATTATTTGAAAGTTTTTAACCTATTGTATCACCTTTATTATTAGGTATTTGTTTAGGGGAAGTAAAACAAAATGTGGATTAATTCATACATACTTCTCAATTACTGCTTTGCTAAATTAAATTTATATAATGTATAAAAGTGATCTAATAACTTCAACAAACCAGTTTTATTCCCTGTTCTCTATAGGGATGCTATTTAACAGTTACTATGTGGAAAACTGACACTTATAAAAAAAAATCTTAGGAGTTTCAGAAACCACCATGGCATATTTTTTTTCCTCATGAAATGCAATAAAATACAAATGAGTTTTTTAAGTAGCTTCCTCAGATCCTTAATGAGAAATGTGAAGGTCAGTAGAGAATAGCAAAGCTTTGCTGAGATGTGAATGCCAGGTAGCTGGTCGAGAGAGGCTGTTCACTGGCCATGTGATTCATTCACTTCCACATATGAGCTTTGAGATGAAATGCATATTCGTGCTGCTGCAAAATATTAAACTGTAGTACACTTCAGGGTCAGACTTTTCAAATAGTTAAAATGGCAATTTGCAAATCTGTGAATGTCAAGGATATGCTATATCTAGGCAGTGTTCCTCTTAAAGAAATTGTGTGTATATGCTTCAGTAATGGTTTTCTGTGCTACAAAGAAGGAAAATTCTTTGTATGTTCATTGTAGAATTTGGGGAAAATTCAAGAGTGCAAAGAGGAGAATAAACATCCCTTATAAGCCTACCATGGTTAAGGATATTTTTGTTGCAAAAGCTGTTTTATAAAAGGGCAGCAGTTGGAACTTTGCAATTATTGTGGGTTATTTTTTTTAACCCATAGAAACCATTACAAATAGGCATTAGGTTTTCAGGAGAGTTTAAGCTTTGTAAAACCCATATGGAGATGACTGGTAGTGGGAGTTAGTTCTCAACTAATTCAGCTAGGGTGTATAATGTTGCTTCTTTATTAAAACTCCCTAGAGGCTGCCCGTGGGCACACCAGTCTTCTGATCTGATGCAGTTGTGACAATGCGGCTGTTTCATTGTTCACAGCAGCAGGTGTGGGGCTCCTGAGCCTGTCACAGCCACAGTGAGAGGTGTGAAAACACAAAGAGAGCCAGCTCCTAGAGGCAGTTGGGCCACCACTTATTGAGTGTTTGAAAAACCAGGTTTGGCTTGTATTGCTTGTTCGCGAATCATCTAATGGACCTTTCATTACATTTTGGTTTGTCACGTGGCCTCACGTGAAAAGGAGGGAACTCCACTATCTTATGCATAATTTGGTTACATTGTAAGTTTCTGTCTCAAACTGGTAGGGAGGAAGAAAAATACAATGGAAGAAAATGTTGGAAAGCAAGAAGATGCTGGGGGAAGGCGCAAAGAACCTCCTTGGTGTTGGGGAGAAACTGAGGACTGGAAGGTTGCTACAGAGAGGGGCTTCATTTGCAGAAAAGGAGCAGAGTGATACAGGGCCAGGTGCTGTGGCCCTAGGGCCTGCTTGTGGGAATTGTTGGATGGACAGAGGGAGGGCTGCCAGTGTGGCTGCAGATGTGCCCACTGGTGTCGGGCAGGGAGAAGAAACTGGAGAGCAGTCCAGTATTTCTGTGTATTTTACATTTTGATCTCAAAACTGCAAATGAGTTGCTGTGGAATGGTAATATAGTCTTAAGATAATTTGATACCTTCTAAAGGTATCAAATTCCTGAAATTAGAGGTTCTAAATAATTACCAAAAAAGACTTAAAATACTACCTGCTAACTCATTAGTAACCCTTTCTGAATGACTGCATGCTTCCATACACAGGGGAGAGGCCCTTTCAGAAAGTGGTTTGTTGTAGGTTAAATATAGGAAAACAGGCTTCCCGGTTGTTGAGTAGTTTCTACTTCTCAGTGTTGTGTGGCTGAGGAGACATGAGGACCATTGTCTTGCTGGTGAATAGGATGGAGAGGCTGAGGGACAGAGCATCTCAGTCATCATTTTTGCCTGACCTCTTATTTGTCTGGTAAAGTTTCAAGCAGATGTTGATTTTTAATTATTTAATTTTTTTGTGCTGGTAAAATATGCATAACAATTTACTATGTTAATGGTTTTTAAGTGTACAATTCAGCAGCATTCAGTAAACTCATAAAATTATTCAACCATCACCACTATTTCCAGAATTTTTTAATCATCCAAAACAAACTAATCCAATGAAATAATAACTCACCATTCCCCATCTACCTAGCCTCAGTAATCTCTATTCTGATTTCTATGAATTTGCTTTTTTCTAGGTATTTCATGTAAGTGAAATCATACTGTATATCCTTTTTGTAAATGGCTTATC